GCTCGGGCGGGCACCCTTCCCGACCACGGGACCCAGAAGGAAGAGCCTTGGCTTACTCTGCGAGGGTGGACCTGTCCCCTCACCGGGTACCATAGACACAAGTGACCACAGGCCTTCTGTGGGGTCCAGGCGGGAGGCAGAGGGACTCTGGACCTTGGACTGTGGGGCTGAGGGAGGTGTGGCCTCACTGAGTGACAGCAGCAGGCCCTGCCTGGGAGCGGAGACAGGCAGTGGCCTCCCTGGGCAGCCCCAGCCACACCCGGCTTTTCTACAGATGAACAGACCCAACGAGAGGAGGGTCCCTGCCCCCCCATGGGTGACTTCTTTAGGGGCTCCCCCCTTCCTGGCAGCTGAACCAGTAACGGTGTGTCTGGGGGCGCACAGCCCGGCCGGCAGCCGAGAGGCCTGACTCCTCACGGTGAAGGGCTGGCGGCACCGGGGACTGAATTCTCTCCGTTCCCTCTGAGGCCTCGGCCCTCTGGTTTGAGCTCTGAGGGCTAGGTGCTGCCCCCTAGCACCTGTGGGACCAGCACCCCCTGCCTCCTTTGTGGTCATTAATCTGGAATTGAACCAGATGGGGGCACCCTCCCTCACCCAGTCTGCCAGCGGCTTCTGATCTTGGTGCTCACACACTCCTCCCCTGCTCTATAGAGGGGCACAGGCGCAGCCTCCGTACTTGGGGCCACAGCACCCTTCCCGCACCCCCACCACTTGGCTGAGGCTGGGGGAAGCCAGCTGGTCCTGGCTTTGCTGCTCTGGGCCCCCACGCCTCCTTCCCCTCTGGACACAGCACAGGGGCATCTACCTCCCCACTGACGTGAAGAGCAGCTCGCAGCTAAGCCGGGTCCCCTGCCCTCCCTCCACAGCCCTTTCCAGGCCTGCAGGGAACCCCGGGCTCCCCAGGGCAAGGGTGCTGTAGGACGGGGTCGGGCGCCGCTGACTTCTCCAGGGGCTTGGCGTGGACAGCGGCTTCCTGTGCGTCTGCACCTGGGCACCATGGAGTCAGGGCCGTGCCCAGGTCTCCCAGGCGCTTGCAAACCTCAAAACCAAACCATGTGCCTTAGGACCCTCATCTCAGCAGCTCCACAGGCAAGCGGGGGCCTAGGGCCCAGGGGCCCACCAGGCGGAGGCCCAGGTCCGGGATCCTGCCCAGAGCTGCTCACGACCGGAACTGGAACCCAGGACACGGCACGATCTCTGATGAGTCGTGTTTTCTGGGCAAACTATGGAAACAGCTCCCTTAAAACACACACACGTTTTCAGGTAATTCTATTTTCATATAAAGTTTCGAAGAGCACAGAGGTCCCAGGTACCCCTCACGGAGTTTCCCTAACACTGTAGCTTCAGGGGTTCCAGGACGCCACCACCCCAGGACACGTGCACTTCCCACCCTGCCTCTGTCCACTCTGTTCTGGAAGCTGGATGGTCCCATCACCACAGATCTTCGTGCCTTTCTCTCTCACCCCAGACAACTGCTAATGAAACAACTGTGTTGGAAACATGGCCAGACTCTTGATTTTTTTTGCACACAAGGTGGCGGGGGAGTCGCAGTAAACACGTGCTGTGGTTGGCCCAGCCCGGCCTGGAGAGCAGTGTGGGCCCAGCATGTGTGGGGGGAACAGCACCAGGTGTCCATCAGCCGGACCTGCCCTGGGCCGACTAGGAGCCCCTCCTGCTTGCTCTGCCCAGCTCCCCACCGGGCTGCGGGTGGGGCGGTGTTTGTAACAATCTAGTGGGCCCGGAACCTGCGCCTGGAACGAGCTCCAGGCTGGGCCCCTGGCCCTCAGGCCTGAGGCTGGTGACCGCGCCCTCCTGCTCCTGCAGCCTCCAGGAGCCAGCGCTTCCTTGGAAGCCGGTTGGGCAGGGAGGGATGCTGGGGCGTCGCCGGCACCACCCGCACAGCTGCGTGCGGGATGAGACCTGCAGGGGCCTGAGCGGCGGCCCCAGAAGAGGGCGGATAGGAAGGCG